AAAAACTTCCATTTAAAACTGAAATAAAAAATGATCTGCTTTTCAAAAAAATTATAAAAATCAAAACAAAGTAAAATTATTTTTATTTTGCAAGTGCCTTTAGTTGAACAATAAAATTTTAATATATTTGACCTACACCGATTCCCTGTATTTACAAATGATACCTTTAAAATCATAATTCCTAAATCCAAATGCCTTATTGTAGTAATTTGTCCATTTTGAATAAGGTACATTTATTTTGAAGGTGTATGTAATGAATATTTCCTTATTATTTGTAAATATTTATTTGCTTTTTTTTATTTGTATATATTTATTTGCGACTAGTTTCGGTCTTTAGACCATCTTCAGGCAAACTACAACAAAGCATAAAATATTGTTAAAATATAAATAGGTAAATATAAGGTTTAATTTTTGTGAGGTTATGTCTAATATTTGGGAAAAGTGATTTTAAATAATTTTAAATAACAAATATTGGATATAAAACTTAGAACGTCAAAATAAACAAACAATTAGGGCTGAATTCATTGATAAAAGAAGAAACTAATAATTTGAATTTAGCAGACACCTTCAAAACTAGCACAACTTTGCATTACTCAACATAAACTGCAATATTGTAAAACAAGAAGAATACCTATGCCGAAATACTGATGTTCTAAATATTTCCGATAAATCTCCATGATTTAAGTAATACCAGCAATTGCCAACAACCCTGACAACATTCGTGATATTCATACGAACATCATGTCGTGATTTTCACAAATTTTATTCATACTGATATCATACGGAAGTCACCGCGTGATAAATGAAAATCATACGAACGTCACGTTGTGATTTTCACAAATTTTATTCATACGGACATCATCCGGATGTCACTGCGTGAGAAATAAAAATCATGTCGTGATTTTTTATGCCATCGCTGTTTGCGATTGACCGATGGCCTAAATAATGATGTCGTGATTTTTTATGCCGACGGTGTTTGGATAATCATCAAGAGAAAAATTATGTTGAATCAACAGTTAATGCGGTTAAATACATTTAATATTTTCTTGGATTTAAATTAACTATATATAGTTAATTTAAATACAAGAAAATATTGAACACAAAAACTGTTGATTCAATATATATGGCGCAAAAATAAATATCCAAACACCGATGGTATAAAAAATCACGACATGATTTTTTATGCCATCGGTGTTTGATCATAAAAAATCACGACATGATTTTTTATGCCATCTGTGTTTGGATATTTATTTTTTCTACGACCACTATGTAAAAGCCACTTTTCATGCTGGCATCGTTGCTTAGAAAATGAATCTTTTCATTGGCAAGGCAAAACACGAATGTAAAGTAACATTTCTGTATGAAAAGGGACAGGTCTGTGTGAAAAGAACCGGAAAGCATCGTTTGACATTCAGCTGTCAAAAAAGTTTTTAGGTTATTTTGTTTTGTATTTAAAAATAATAAAAAATAAAAGGGTCGCAGAAAAAAGATTGTGTTATACTTGTGAGAAAAGCTTTCTTCAAGCTCGTGTTAATGCACACTCGGCCTAACGGCCTCGTGGGCAACTTAAAAACTCGCATGAAAAAGTCGCTTTTCAACACTTGTAAAACAAATAACTATTTGCTACACAATAGGGTTTTAAAAACAAATATTTTCTACATAGGAACTTTATTGTTCAAGTATGAATTACATAAAGACAATCTTATTATGTTTTACATATGTTTTATTATCATTACTGCTGAGCCTGCAACTACTCAGGTTACTCCAAGATGGGACGTTCATAACTCCTTCGCCCTCACTTGAGAACTATGGGGTTGATAACAGTTCGATAATTCTACATTTATGGAAATGAATTGGGCGTCATCTAAACCACTCTTTGTTTATTTAATGCACTATGAATCTAAATTTTCTAAGTTGAATTTTATTTTCTTTATAAAGACATTATAATGTCTTTTTCATTATAAGTCTTTGTAAATTGTAGATGAGGCAGATCAATATTTTTTTTAAATTACATTGTAATCGGAGTAACCTTTTAAAACAACATCGTTTATTTGCACTTTACATTTGTCTTTAAGTTCTAACACGTAACTCCCGACTATTGGAAATAAGTCCTTATTATCCGCACAATTAATTCTAGCTACTAATGATGTGAGGCTAATGATGATCCATTGGTTGTTTCCTAGATTTTGAACCATAAGAGAGGATACAGCTACTGGAACTTCCCGGACAACAATCGGAATTTTCTGGTGAAGTCATGATGATATCACACTGGGATATCCTGAGTGCATACACATGCTTATCGAACTCTGGTATCAACCCCATAGTTCTCAAGTGAGGCCGAATGAGTTATGAACGTGTAACCTTAATATTTGAATTTAGCGACAATAATACATTTTTATAATATTTAATTATTTATTTTAAACATTGAACGTATGCAACCCAGAACACGTTAGTTATCTATTGTTTTATCTGCATTTAAGAATCTAATGTAAATATCTTGAACCTAATGTAAACAACTTAATCATTTGAATTGCCTTTATATAATTAATGCATAATCATTATTAAAGTATTCCAAAATTTAGATGAGTACAAGCATTTGATTGATTAAAATGAGTATAAACATTTAATTGATTCATTCGCCAAAAGTATAGTTGTTTGTTCAAACTACCTGTTATTGTTTAAAACTTATTTAAATAATAATATTCATACCATCACTTTTGAATTCGTTTGTCTATGTTTATTAGCTTAATGTAGATTTTTGATACCTTCTCTTGCTAAATAGATGTTTTTGTGATTTTTTATTCTGTATGTTGTCTAATTATCTTTATTTTTGTTTTCTTGATTTATTTAAATTTATTGCCGCGCTATTTACCAATTGCGTCGATTGTTTTTTTGCTTGATTTTTTTTTGGGCATTCTAAAATGGTTTCTGGTTGAGTGTACAAGTATTGTTATTAAATTATTGGATATTGGTTCCATCCTTAGAAATTAAGGGATTTGTTAATAACAAAAGTTTTCTTTAAAAAGTGATTGAGTTAGTGTGGTTGATATTTTTGGAATATTCACTTTTTAAAACGCTCCGGCGGATAATTCACCTCAACAGGAATCAAGCCTGAAAATCTTTACTTTTCCATCTAAAGCCCAAGGAATTGTGGATTTTGTGTTTATACCCTTCGTGGAAGGTATGCCTTATTTTTATTGTTTGTTCTTGTTGTTCATTTTCTTTTCTTTTGAACTTTTTAGGGTTTTAGTTTTTCGTATTAGTTTGAGTTCTAGATTTAATTTCTAGTGCCTAGCTCCAGCTTCGATTGAGCCACTAATTTCTAGCCGAATGTCATTGTTAAATCATTGAAGTATATTACCATAATATTGTCCGAAGTAATATCTGCAAACGGTCGTTGTAATCGCGAAGAATCTCTACCGCTGTAGGATCGTGTCCTGCTCTGCTGCAAGCTACTGTCACCGTGGGATCACAAGTAACAAATTGTTTATCTTAATTTTTATTAAATTATTGTTTTGAATAATTACATATATTTTTAAGTTTAAGTTTTAACAAAAATAGATATATTTTCTTTGGCTTTATTATAGCCAAGTTATTTATTGGAATATTACAAAAATTAATTTGCAAATTAGAGAAAAAGATACATTAAAATAAAATCTGTGCGCCAAAGGTAACTGCAGTATGCTGACGGTAAATTAGACATATTATGTTTCTTGGTTTATTTAAGAAATTTATTTAACGAATATCCTAACCAATTTAATTTCATCTTTAAACTAATATCTAAATAAATAATCATTTAATTTTCTTTTTTAATACTAGCTTGTTTTTTTTAAACCTAAAAGATAAATAAATTGCTGTGAGAGGTAGCTGCAGATAAGTTGTGAATTAAAATATATTATTTTTATCGATATATTAGATTAAATTAAATTTTCGTAATTTTTATAAATAATTGATAGTAAATTTAAAAATTACGTGGCGCCCTATAACATCTTTTAAATCTATTTATTCAAAATTATCAATTAAACTTTATTTCATCGTCTATATATCTTTAAAAGGAAAACATTGTCAATAATTAGTGTCTGTTTGTGTATTTTTCTATTTATATTCTAGGTCTGTCTATTAAACTATTTTTTTTTAAAGCCACACGCCCACAGCTACCGCCGTAACCTAGCCAGGCCCATGCTTTTTTTGATTATTTTCAATTAAAGTGTGTAAGAACCCCTTTTATAACTTTTCTTTGGTTAAGGGTGCAACATCCCTTAAATTTTGGATATAAACGTCCCATCTCGGTGTAACTTGAGAAGGTGCAGGCTCAGCAGTAAAGATAATAAAACATATGTAAAACATAATGAGATTTTCTTTATGTAATTCATACTTGAAAAATTAAGTCCCTGTGTAGAAAATATTTGTTTTTAAAACCCTATTCTTGGAACCGCAAACAATAGTCGTGTTCCTGAAACGATTACGGTCCAGGGTTTAGTAAACTGTGTCCGTTAACGGTTTAGTCAACCTAAGCTTATAATTAGTATAAATATGGTAGATTTAGCATTTAGATTAAGTTACACTTTGCTTATGAGGATGCCAACATCGTTGGCGAAAAGTACTTTAAGCAATTTGTATTTTGTTTTGGTTTTGGGGAATATTTCTATTATTTGTTTAACATATCACCAAAGTTGTCCTTTTTGAAGTAACAGGGACATAATCGAGTATGCCATTATTCTTGTAAAATAACAGAATAAGCATTTAAAAGGCATTACAAAATAAAAAAATACCTACAATTTAGTTTCCTTACCTTCTAGAATTTAACAGTTTTTACAAATTTTTTAACACCCTGTAACTTAAAAGCGAAAACTTGTAGAGCATATTATTAATAATTATTAATTAATAAATTATTAATTTTTCTACCATTTAATTTTTTACAACCTTTTTGTTGTATTTGCAAATTACTACAGCTTTAAAATAAATTTGTAACTATAATAAAATAAAAATTCGACATTTACCCCGTCCGACATCATAAAATGAACTCCTTTATTATTTGTTTCAGCTAATATTTTTTCCTTAAAATCACTGATATTTTCAGGATTACAAATATTTCCGTCTTCATTTTTCCCATATAAAGCCTGAAAAGTTGCCGATGAAGTACATGTGGATTCGTTTAATTTAAAATCATGTGCATCTTTCAATGTAAATCCTAAACCTTTATATATCCAGCCCGTTCGCCATAAAATATATTCTGTAAATCCACCAGGTCCAGCACAAACGTCTGCAAAATAAAATGGTCCTTCATTACCAAGGAAATGGTCCTGAAATGAGAAGACACTATTAAAACAATTTATTTGCGATTGCTCATTAAAAAACAAAATGTGTTTGAAATGAACATGTATTTAACATATTTGTCACACAGTGCGGATATGCAGGAGATGCCTCAAAAATATTAAAGAAAACAATATTGTCTAAAAGTTACTTTACAAAAAAATAAACCATTAATTATTTTTTGTTACCCTTTAACTAAGTTTCATAAATACAATAGCAACAAAAAAATGGGTTCGTTTGTAGTTTTTATTAAACATATTAAAATAGTTTTACAAAGCATGTAGCCGGATTTAACTAAAATTGTCGAAAATTTTCCATAATGTCAACAATTAGAATGTCATTAATTTTAAAATAAACGATAACCTTTAAATTTTGAGTTTTATTGAGAGTAGCATGTAGTACATGCTACTCTCAATACGTCAAGGTGCGAAGTTCGCACTTCGAATCAGTTAGCCGACATCTGTACGCATTTTTGCATGTCACGCGATAAAAATTTTACAGGAGGCGATTAAAGTTCGAGGGGCATAGGCGTTTGGGTAGTGACGCTCGAATTAATAGCCATGTCAATTCCATCTGGACCTTTTGAAAGATCATTTACACCTCTACTTAAAATAATGATAATCTCAAAAATTATTTTTTTAACGCTGGGTCCCTTTTTTGGATCGCGTCCAATATTTTATGTTAGCTTTTTAAAGTTTGAAGATTGCTTCCGGACTTAAGTCTGTTTTAACTTTTTTCAATAACTTTGCGTTGTCAAATACAATGCAGTAAGTTGTTTGATAGCGGCGGTTTCTAAGTTCCAGGAAACAAGATTATCACATGTTTTTTATGGGGGTTGGGCTACTCGCGTCCCGCTACTTCAAATCACCACCATTTTTTATAAAAACGTATTTGAGGCGCTCGCCTCGTCACAGTAAAAGTTGGAAAGGCTCCACTATACTTGGCCGCTCCACGATTAATAATAGGAATCGAGTTATATTACAGAAAAACTATTTCCTTTTTCTATTTCAAAAGACTGTTTAAGAAAAAATGTTTTTAATTATTTGGGCATTTTTTTATTTTAAATTAATGTGGCTAGGCTTCGGGCCGCAAAGAAAAGGTTGGCGGGCCGCATGCGGCGCGCGGGTAGCTGTTTGAGTATGGCTAGTCTATATGGTTTGTTTAGCTATGGGCTTTCCAATGGTAATAAAAGTCTCGTTGTTAAGTTAAATTTTATATTTTTATTTATTAACCCTGGAGTGGTGGAGCGTTTTAAGATAGCGTGGGAAAAGGGCAGGGGTGCAGATATATAAAACCGATTCTCAGTACCTTCCTAACATTCAGTACATTACCGTTTGTAGCAGTTAAAACATCCCTGCTTAAAATACCCCATAGAGACCTATACAAAATAATCTATCGGGCGCTACCGGATTCTATATGTGCATTTGTCCATGGGTTTTTCCGGATACAGCCCGATAGAAAATGTATAGGAAATTACCTATAGGCACACCATAACTTTTACATTTTCCCTATTGAGACCGATAGAAAATAACTCAATGAAGGATATATAGGGATATCCCTATAGAGCAACCATAAAACATTTGACAAAATTTTATTAAAACCTATAGGGTCCTATAGGGAAAAAACTAATTTCGACATTTATGTGTATTTTCCCCATTGAAACCGATAGCAAATAAATCAATGGTGGATATCCCTATAGAACAACCATAAATCTCAACTACGGGTCCTATACAAACCGATACACCCTATAGAAACACCATACATCCCGATACAAATATCTATCGGATTGAACAGGGTCTCTATGGGGTATTTTAAGCAGGGATCAGGAATATTTTTCTATAAGACTTGGTGTGCCTTTCAAGTCTGGAAGACTCAGTGCCACCACTAACGTAACATTAATTTCCTATAAGATATATAGATATAGATATTATCTCTAATTTGGGTGCTTCCTGTTTACCTCGTAAACATGTTTTCCCGGTAAGTAATAGACCACTATTTTCACCAAATTAAAGTTAATTAACATAATCATAACAATAATACCTAATAATATTATTTACATTATGTATATAAATATAAATATATATATATATATATATATATATATATATATATATATATATATATATATATATATATATACCGTACCTTCATTTGCAAGCTAATCATAGGGAAAATACATTGTAACTGGACCAGATAAGTCTTAGTCAGCACGAAGCGAAAAACGTTGTAGAAATGATTTGGACGCGTGGACGAGTAGGCTAGCATGCGCCGTAACAGTTGACCTTGCTTCATACATTGATGCTTTATTATTGTTTTGTATTTTGTGCGGTGTACATCTGGTAAACAGTTAAAAATAAAATGGATTTTTAAAATGAATCACTATACTGTAGAGGAAAAGTTTGATATGATTTATTGGGTAATTCGGGGAAATTCGTTTAGGGAAACGAGAGATCTTTTCTCTGTGAAATACCCGGATCGCCCAATTCCTTGTACCAAAACTATTTCCTCTACTTATAACAATTTAAAATCAAAAGGCTGCCTTTTACCATGTCAATGCCATAATGTTCCCAGGATTAATGACAACGCTGAATTGCAGGAAATAATGGTTTGTGCAATGGTACAACAAGATTCCACAGTTTCGGTTGCCAAACTTTCTGAAGACACCGGAGTTGGGGCAAAGTTCATAAAATATTAAAAAAAAAAAATTAAATCCTACAAATACCAGGTTCATCAGGAAGTTTATGATGATGACAAGTACCGCAGAATGGAATTCTGTGAAACCGTGATGGAAATGGCAAACGAGGATCCGAACTTTACAAAAAATATTGTTTTTACGGATGAATCCACATTTCCACTTCATGGAAAACACAATCCGTCCATTCTGCGTTACTGGGCCATTGAAAATGAGTACCGGCAGTTAAACTTGCGTACTTAGTACCCAGAAAAACTGAATGTTTGGACTGGTATTTTTGGCAATAACATTGTAGGACCATTTATTATTAATGGCAATTTAAATGGTGAATCTTACTTGCACTTATTGCAGAACCAAATTATTCCTGCATTGCGTCACGCAATTTGCGTGTCATTAATCCAAACCTAGACAATGTATGGTTTCAGCAGGATGGATGTCCAGCCCATAATAGTCTAAGAGTTGTAGAATATCTACAACAAATATTCCCCAACAAAATTTTTTCAACACGGGGGACAATTCGGTGGCCGGCGAGGTCACCTGATTTGGCCCCGAATGACTTTTTTTTGTGGGGCTATATTAAGTCTATGATTTATGGACATGAGCATCAGAGGGCTAATGACCTAAATCAGCTTCAAATTAAAATTGAAGACCAATTTCAGGCCATTACTCCTCTTATGCTAGCAAACGTCCGGCGGGAATTTTATCATAGGTTGGGATATTGTTTGGCACAAGGGGGAGGTACTTTTGAAAACCGTCTCTAGTTTTGTTAGAGTTTCATTTTTAAGTTTTTTATTTCGGATTTCTTTTTTATTTTTAAATGTTTTTTTTAGAGTATACTTTTATTTAATACAAAACATAACAAAATCATACATTTCATATGATTATGAGTCAGTTTTTTAAACTTCTGCTAATTTTAATAAAAATCAATTTGATTTCTTTTACACAGAAAGTATTAAAATAAACAAATTTTAATAGTTAGCAGAAAAATAAAAAACTGGTTCTAATGGATAAAAATTTAATTTACGTAAGGTTGTACATCAATACTTACAGCGCAAGTGGCATAGCCACACTCCTAAACCACTACTGGTTTAGGGCCACACTCCACTTGAGTCTCGGACCCTGGCGATTAAATTAGTTTTAGTACGCATGTCTCGACGACGCATCCAAATCATTTCTGAGAAGGTTCTCGCTTTGTGTTGACAATGTATTTTCCCTATGGTTAGCTTGCAAATGAAGGTACGGTATATATATATATATATGTATTAGTGGTTTTTCGGGATCTGCTCCGTGTTGTCGGTTTTTGGTTCTTAAAAGAACCGTATGTCTGACGACGTTTCGGTCTTATCTGATGGGCTGCTGTTGCTGCGAGTTAGACGTGGCACAGCAGCCCAGCAGATAAGACCTGAAGATGGTACATGAGATTGTACCGAAACGTCGTCAGACATAGACATAGAACCAAAAACCGACAACGCCCGTGGAAACCTAAAGCAGGCCCTGAATGTGTGGCACGACCGCAAATTTTTTTATAATCTAGTTCCTTATGTACGTATTAGGAAAAAAATATTATTTTGTTTTTTATGCTATAATACTACATTTTTTACTTTTGTTAACCTCTGATGTTTTATTTGTAAATTATTGCCAATTTGTATTTTCAGGTATTTTACATTTCAAAACAATTAAACTTGTTCAAAAATGTATACATATATTAAAAATATATCCAAATAAGAGAAAAAATAGCTAAAAAGAATAGTATATTCTGTAACAAGTTTGGAATTCAGCATATTCCGCTCGAGTGAAGAGTTTGTCACACGAGCCGAAGGCAATTTTGACGGTTTCACGAGAGCGGAATATGCAATTCCAAACGTGGTTCAGACTATACTTTTTCTACGTTTCCAAAAAATACCATAGAAAAATAATCTAATTGGAAGAAAGTGAGCTTGGATCGGTCTAAAATTTGTTAGATATTAAAAACAGAGATGTCACCACGAGTGTTTATTCTGTCATCAGATGATAGAATATTTCATTCTGTAACACTTTACGGAATATATGTCATTCCATAGATAAAAGTGATATTAGAAGGGTCAAATTCCGTAATAGGTGTAGAAAAAAATATATATAATAGTTACTGAAATTCCGCCACCGTTCATGTTCTGTCAGGACGCGCCACCACTCCAGGGTTAAATTTAATTTTAATTTAAACATAAATCTAATGTTACGAATAACTTTATTATTCAATTCCTTAATTTACGTAATGTGCATTTGGTGCAATCTTGAAGACAATGTTCGGTTAATTAGGTG